CCTCTCATCGCTTCAGCAAATTGCTGTTCTTGCGGTGCATTTCCCTCCCCTGCCGCCGCTGCGGCTTTTCACCTCTGGCATTGCTGCCACCGCGGCCTTTTTCCTTTCCTCTCATCGCTTCAGCAAATTGCTGTTCTTGCGGTGCATTTCCCTCCCCTGCCGCCGCTGCGGCTTTTCACCTCTGGCGTTGCTGCCACCGCGGCCTTTTTCCTTTCCTCTCATCGCTTCAGCAAATTGCTGTTCTTGCGGTGCATTTCCCTCCCCTGCCGCCGCTGCGGCTTTTCACCTCTGGCGTTGCTGCCACCGCGGCCTTTTTCCTTTCCTCTCATCGCTTCAGCAAATTGCTGTTCTTGCGGTGCATTTCCCTCCCCTGCCGCCGCTGCGGCTTTTCACCTCTGGCGTTGCTGCCACCGCGGCCTTTTTCCTTTCCTCTCATCGTTACAGCAAATTGCTGTTCTTGCGGTGCATTTCCCTCCCCTGCCGCCGCTGCGGCTTTTCACCTCTGGCGTTGCTGCCACCGCGGCCTTTTCCTCTCATCACCATTCTGCTTTCAAACCTACCATGCACAAAAGAAAGATGAAAAGGGAGACATCTGTGCTCAAACCACGACATTCGTTGCAAACGGAAGGACTAGTTCAAAGAAAATAAGGGAGTCCAAAGATATGGAGGATCGGTCGAGAAATATGGTTGTCATGGTGGAAGTTGTCCGTTGGAGATATGTTTGGTTGGAAGAGGTTGGCAGATGTTGATCCAGTTGGTGGACAGTTGGTGGTGACTGGCCGGTTTTATTGTCGTCGCTGGGTTTTGTGGATGGTAGCTAGCGTTATCTAACCAGCCAGCAGCTGCAGCCAGTTATATTGCCTATATGGGCTACGCTACGCAGCTATCAGCCAGCAGCCAACAACCAGCATCAGCGAGTGTGCGCGTGTCACGGCTGTTGCCGCGCGTGTACAGTCTGTCGTGTTTTCGTTTGTGGTGCCCACAGCCCTGGTTGTGCACAATTGATTTTCATTTGTTTGGGGGATTACCTAATTAAGGGGAGGCTACACCTTATTAAATAATAGATGAATAAATAAAGCTGAACCATGATATCTATTTCCGCTTTATTTATTTACTTATTTATTTACTCTGTTTTAAATATCTTATTATAGATTAGTAATGCGCCTCAGCCTAATAAGCTAACGCGTGCATTAGGGTGCCGGGGTTGTAGAGGTTATGGGTTTTCCCAGGCCTTTGCACCTCCTGTCACCGTATTTTTAATTTTTTCATTATGTAGTCAGCAGCAGCAGCAGCAGCAGCAGCAGCCGGCAGATCAGCAAGCAGCTGCAGCAGTGGCCATGGCCCGGGCCCTTTATCGCCAGGGTTTGCGGCAGCTTCCCTGGTGCCAGGACCCGAATGCAGGGTCGACTGGCTGCCGGGACTCGGGGCGTACGAGTCGTCCGGCCTGCCGGCACCCGCACGCAGGGGCCGGCCGTACTTTTATAACGCCCGTCTCAGGTGGGTGGGTGGGTGGGTGGGCGACGTGGGTGAGGGTGTGGTGCGTACTTCGTGACTTGGGTTCAACTAGTGGTCGTGGAAAAAGGCCGCAGGGCCGCAGCGCACGTGTCGCAACGAGGCCTTGTGACTTTGGGGCAAAATAATGACATTTGGTGTTTTACCCCCCTCCCCCCCGTGTATGCTGCCCCCTTACCTATCCCCTCTGGCCGTTTCCCCCTTTATCACGCACCTCCTCTTCAGGTGCGGCTGGGGCATCAACCTGTGCGCCCCAGTGGCACCGAGCGGGCGTTGCTGATGATGGGCCCGGCTGAGGTGGGTGCGGATGGGCTTGGGGTTTTGGTGCATGGGGTGTGCGTCGTGGGGACCAGCAGCGGTACCCTTGCTTGCAACTGTCACCTAATTATGTGTGTGTTAGTTGTGTCGTACTGCTAACCATATTTTGACTTCCCGCGCCCTTCCCCCGCCTTGTCCCTTTTCCTTCAGGTGCACTGCTGGGTGCAATTCCTCCGCACCCAGCTGCACCCAGCCGGGCGCCGCCGCTGCTGGCCAGTTGGCTAGCGGCGGCGGCAACGTTGGCGGCGGCATATAGACGCATCATCATCATGATCATCATCATCATCGTCATCATCATCATCATCATCAGTTGCCGCCATTCCAATCAACTGCTGTAAAGGCCATCGGCATCATGATCATCATGATCATCATCGTCATCGTCATCATTATAATCATGGTCATCATCATCAGTTGCCGCCATTCTTGCTGGCTTGATAACTTGTTGGCTGCATGCAGCGCCAACTACGAGCAATGACCGAACGAATGGTGTCGTACAATAAACGGCCATACCGACCATATAACGGTTAATAATATAATATCAATAAATGGCGAATACAGCATTTCTGTAAACGATCGAGTGATCAACGTTAATAATGACCAACGGTTTCGGTTGGACGGTCAAATGGAATCAATGCAGCACGAGGACTTGCGCAGCTGAACTTCCCAGTAATGGGCCCATGCAAAATGATCCGGGAGGTACCTGGGCGGATGTTGTCGGGGCCTGGGGTGGCCGGGCGCAACTCGGTTTGGGGTTTTGCCTAGCACAATGCGATTGGGGGGCATGGCCCGGCATGATGCGATTTGGGGGACATGGCCTGGCATGATGTGATTGGGGGGGCATGGCCTGGCATGATGTGATTTGGGGGGCATGGCCTGGCATGATGCGATTTGGGGGCATGGCCTGGCATGATGCGATTTGGGGGACATGGCCTGGCATGATGTGATTGGGGGGGCATGGCCTGGCATGATGTGATTTGGGGGGCATGGCCTGGCATGATGTGATTTGGGGGGCATGGCCTGGCATGATGTGATTTGGGGGGCATGGCCTGGCATGATGTGATTGGGGGGCATGGCCTGGCATCATGCGATTTGGGGGGCATGGCCTGGCATCATGCTGGCATGATATGGTTTAGGTTGAATTATTTCCTTAGTTAACCGTGCGGAGAGAAAGGATTTTGCACTCTGCGGTATGCATGTGTTGTGATACGCTTCCTGTGTTTGTTCTACTGTGCGTTCTGTAGTATGTTGTTACAGGGTGGTTAACTTCGCCAGCGGCCCCCTTTCCCGGGGCAGTCCCTGCTCTCCCCTGCTAGAGGGGCACCCTAATCCGTCACCCCATCCGACTTCAGAATGTATTCGTTGGGTTCGGCAACTCACCACCAGCATCCAACCAAATCTAGCGGATCAACGGCGCATCAACTTAGTTCCTGGTCAGCTCGCAAGTTGATATTATCACGTCCTACACCGTCCATATGATGGGGGGCCACCTCCCATTTCATCACTCCTCAAACACCCGAGGAGCTGGCAGGCGTATTTGAACCCGGGTCGACTGGATCGATTGGGAGCAGAAGTCAGGCCTTAACTTCTGCCAGCCGCCTGTAGTATGCATGTGTGTTGAGTAGTGTGCAAGTGTGTGTATGAGGTGTATGTATGTTTGTGTGCACATTTTTGCGTCAAACATGTATCCGTTCATTTTTGCATGAGGCGGCTTTGCAACTGTATTGTTACCGTCGAATCTTCACCGTCACCACCTTCTTCTTACCGTCGACGTTTGCCGTCGCCATCACCTTCTCCACGTCGAATCTTCACCGTCACCACCTTCTTCTTACCGCCGACGTTTTGCCATCGCCATCACCTTCTCCACGTCGAATCTTCACCGTCACCACCTTCTTACCGTCGACGTTTTGCCGTCGCCATCACCTTCTCCACGTCGAATCTTCACCGTCATCACCTTCTTACCGTCGACGTTTTGCCGTCGCCATCACCTTCACCACGTCGAATCTTCACCGTCACCACCTTCTTCTTACCGTCGACGTTTTGCCGTCGCCATCACCTTCTCCACGTCGAATCTTCACCGTCATCACCTTCTTCTTACCGCCGACGTTTTGCCGTCGCCATCACCTTCTCCACGTCGATTCTTCACCGTCACCACCTTCTTCTTACCGCCGACGTTTTGCCGTCGCCATCACATTCTCCACGTCGAATCTTCACCGTCACCACCTTCTTCTTACCGTCGACGTTTTGCCGTCGCCATCACCTTCTCCCGTCGATTCTTCACCCTCACCACCTTCTTCTTACCGTCGACGATTTGCCGTCGCCATCACCTTCATCCCATCGAATCTTCACCGTCACCAACTTTCTTGCCGTCGACGTTTTGCCGTCGACATCACCTTCATCCCGTCGAATCTTCACCGTCACCACCTTCTTCTTACCGCCGACGTTTTGCCGTCGCCATCACCTTCTCCACGTCGATTCTTCACCGTCACCACCTTCTTCTTACCGTCGACGTTTTGCCGTCGCCATCACATTCTCCACGTCGAATCTTCACCGTCACCACCTTCTTCTTACCGTCGACGTTTTGCCGTCGCCATCACCTTCTCCACGTCGATTCTTCACCGTCACCATCTTCTTCTTACAGTCGACGTTTTGCCGTCGCCATCACCTTCATCCCGTCGAATCTTCACCGTCACCACCTTCTTCTTACCGTCGACGTTTTGCCGTCACCATCACCTTCATCCACGTCGAATCTTCACCGTCACCACCTTCTTCTTACTGTCGACTTTTTGCCGTCACCATCACCTTCTGTGTAATCTTCACGGGGCCACCTGGCGCAATGCGGTTCGGGGGTTTGCATGGAACGATGCTATTTGGGGGGTTAACTGGCATAATGCAGTTCGGGGGTTTGCATGGACCGTTGCTATCTGGGGGGTTAACTGGCATAATTTGGTTCGGGGGGTTTGCCTGGACCTATGCTATTTGGGGGGTTACCTGGCGCAATGTGGTTCGGGGGTTTGCATGGACCGATGCTATTTGGGGGTTTGCCTGGCATAATGTGGTTCGGGGGGTTTGCCTGGACCTATGCTATTTGGGGGGTTAACTGGCGCAATGTGGTTCGGTGGGTTTGCATGGAACCGATGCTATTTGGGGGGTTAACTGGCATAATGCAGTTCGGGGGTTTGCATGGACCCATGCTATTTGGGGGGTTAACTGGCGCAATGTGGTTCGGTGGGTTTGCATGGACCGATGCTATTTGGGGGGTTAACTGGCATAATGCAGTTCGGGGGTTTGCATGGACCGTTGCTATCTGGGGGGTTATCTGGCATAATGTTGTTCGGGGGTTTGCATGGACCTATGCTATTGGGGGGTTACCTGGCATAATGTGGTTCGGTGGGTTTGCATGGACCGATGCTATTTGAGGGGTTACCTGGCGCAATGTGGTTCGGGGGTTTGCATGGACCGATGCTATTTGGGGGGTTATCTGGCATAATTTGTTTCGGGGGTTTGCCTGGACCTATGCTAATTGGGGGGTGACCTGACATAATGTGGTTCGGTGGGTTTGCATGGAACGATGCGATTCGGGGGGTTACCCGGCGCAAAGTGGTTCGGGGGGTTTGCATGGACCGATGCTTTTTGGGGGGTTATCTTGCATAATTTGTTTCGGGGGATTTGCCTGGACCTATGCTAATTGGGGGGTGACCTGACATAATGCAGTTCGGGGGTTTGCATGGACCGATTTTATTTTAGCGGTTGCCTGGCGTGAAGCTTTGCACGAGGCTGCGACGTACGTGAGGCGCCTTAGCACGGTATCCTGCACGGTAAGTCTGGGCCGCAAGCTTGGGGGGTAAACTGCCGTTCGTGCTCAAATGCCACCGTTAGACGTTGGAATTGTCATATTTAACCGTTTCGTTTGTTCTTGTGCAGGGTCTCCACTTCCGCAGGCTTTCTGTTTGAACGTTGCTCGAGTGCGCGGCCTCAGGTCTAACGAGGCTGCGACGTACGTGAGGCGCCTTAGCACGGTATCGTGCACGGTAAGTCTGGGCCGCAAGCTTGGGGGGTAAACTCCCGTTCGCGCTCAAATGCAACCGTTAGTCGTTGGAATTGTCATATTTAACCGTTTCGTTTGTTCTTATGCAGGGTCTCCACTTCCGCAGGCTTTCTGTTTGAACGTTGCTCGAGTGCGCGGCCTCAGGTCTAACGAGGCTGCGACGTACGTGAGGCGCCTTAGCACGGTATCGTGCACGGTAAGTCTGGGCCGCAAGCTTGGGGGGTAAACTGCCGTTCGCGCTCAAATGCCACCGTTAGACGTTGGAATTGTCATATTTAACCGTTTCGTTTGTTCTTGTGCAGGGTC